AACCCTACAAATGGCACTACATCCTTGACCACCGAAGGGTCAAGACGTACCTGGCGCTCCTCTCGGAGCAGCCAGGTCAACTGTTAAGTTGGCCCATACCAACTCCCTCCCCCGAACCCTCCTCCCCACCGGAATATAAACATGTTCTCGCCAGAAGTTACTATTTCATTTAGGAAAGGAATGGAACCAGTGTTAAACAGAGGTGAACAGTGGTGAACAGTGCTTAAGTCAGTGAGAACAACTCAACAGTAACAGTGGTACCCAAGTTGACCTTCACACAGTGAGGTCCCAGGTACCCAGTGATAACGGCCCGTGAGACCCAACAACCAGCGATGTGTTAATCCGTCTACGATAGGAAGGCCTGGAACCACACCTCACTCATATAACACCATCTGTGAGGGAATTACTACACCACGTGAGGCCCCTCATAACACCATATGTGAAGGAGTTACTACACCACGTGAGGCCCCTCATAACACCATCTGTGAGGGAATTACTACACCACGTGAGGCCCCTCATAACACCATCTGTGAGGGAATTACTACACCACGTGAGGCCCCTCATAACACCATCTGTGAGGGAATTACTACACCACGTGAGGCCCCTCATAACACCATCTGTGAGGGAATTACTACACCACGTGAGGCCCCTCATAACACCATCTGTGAGGGAACTACTACACCACGTGAGGTCCCTCCTAACATCATCTGGGAGGGAGTTACTACACTACGTTTTTGCTGTTCAACACCTACATTAATCTGTTTGTTCACTATGTTCCTTCACCTTTCTCTAATGAAGGCTTTTGTTAAACCACCAATGTATGTAATAAGTTATTTATGTCCAATGTATATTTTCAGCCTTCGGGCTGCAGAACTTTTTCAATAAACCGTCAATTATTATTATTATTATTATGGTGACCCCGGAGTGACGCACTCACACAGGATGGAGGAGAAACTGATCACGCTCCCACCATCAAGCAGCATGGAAGACTGGCTTATCCACACAGAAGCAGCTCTGCTACTCTAAGCAGACACCAGCTCCTCTTCCTGCCCCAAGCACCACATCCTACCGACCCCAGCACACCCGTCCTGCCTCAGACGCCGACCCCGCAGTAACCCCTGCCGCCCCTGACGCGGCCTCTGTTCCTGAGTGCGGACCCACACACCCCTCTTTTCCCCCTCAGGTACTCCCTGCTAATGTCCTGCACCATGCTGCTGTCGTGGACCCAGCTGCTGTCACGAGCCCTCATCCGCTTCTGCTGACGCAGCCCCTGCTCCTGACCCAGGCCCACACACCCCAGCAGGCGCATCTGACGACTCTGTACCTGTCATGAGGGAAGCACAACATTCATCGCCTACACACACCCTTTTCTCCCTCTCTCCTCCCACAGATAGTGTGTATATAAACAGTTGTATCCAGCGACCGGCTCATCCACGCCATCGCCGTTGTCTCACATGAGGCATGCACCGCCCGGTCTGCCTCACATGTGCTAAGCAACTCTACAGACAACAAGTCTCCTACACCGCCTGGAGGGAAGGGGGAGTATTGTAGTGGACGTCTCCCCTACAACTGCCTACAACTGCGTAGCCACAGCCACCACCTGCTACCACCTTCCCTAGCAACCAACCAGATGTTACCGTATCCTAGCAACGAAACTAGGAACTGGCGACTTCTCGGGTTTTCCCAACATGACTCATAGCGGCTGCTGGGTATATAAGCTCTGTCTCTCCATTGAGATTCATTCTGACCATTCTTCTTGAACAAGCAACACCTCCTCCTCTGCCGCTGCCTTCGCTTCTCCTCGCCTGCCTGGCGGTCCTCGCTCCCGCCAGCGAGCATGGCGACCCACCAGCTGTCCTTCTCTGAGCTTCCTCACCAACCAACTCTCATTCTGCCCATCTTCCTGAACAAGCAACACCTCCAGCACCAGACTGTCTATAATATAACTTATATTATACAAGAAAACCACATTAGAGTTTCCTTCCATCCTGAGTGCTAGACAACATTAATATCTCGATATCCCTACAATTCCCAATAAAATCAGTCAAACACGCGAGGCGAGTTATCAAAACACTTGTGTCTATGGAGTGATAAGACCACTACCATAACAATGAGGCTTTATCAGGTGTGACCAACAATATTATGAAAGGTATCATCACAACAATACCAGTACAATCATTATCAGGTAACACATAAGGCTGGTAGATGACGTCGCCTTTTATCTATTTTATTTTATAATACAGTAGACTCCGGAAATAAATGCACCCATGCAGTCTAGTGTATGATTTACCCAACCAAGCATAACCTGATAGTCTCAACTAACCTGAACCTTACATAATCTAACAGTAGTGTACATTAGACCCATGAAAGGACATTTATTTCCTGCCATGTAGTGATCACCTCTCAGTGGGAGCATGTTGCCTTAACTCTGACAAGTTCTCTGCGGATAACATGTAATATAAGTACTATCATACCAACAATATTACCTGTTTATAATGACTCTTCAAGCACAGATTACTTACCCAGTATAACCTATTGTTAGTAGCCGCCACCCCGACCTTTGTACACAGCAGTGCAGCCTAACTGACATCAATATCGCGCAGCTTTATGCTAAAAAAAATTGCAAATAAAACAAACACACCGTAAGACTATGTTGTTATTATTGCACTTACCTTCACTTGGTCGTCTCCGTGTTAAACTCTGGTGTGTAAGAGCTCTTGTGGGACGGCGGAATAGCTGTCATGTCTGTCTAAAGCAAACAGACACGTTTACACAAGGATGAAAGTTCAGTCATCGGCGATTTTGTTATATAAACATAACAAACCCACTAATGTTAACTATTGCTTTAAAGTCCGTTTATTAAATTCATATATAAATGCTTAAAGGTGGAAGATGAAGAAAGAATGATAATAATTACACATACCCGGATTATATTAAATTGCCTTACTTAATTGTATAACACAACTTAATCAAATAATTGTCATTATATATACGAGTCATAAATGCAATACTATTAAAAATCAAACTAGGACCACTATAATCACATTAACCCCCCTCAATAAATCGTCAAATTATAGTCACAGGCAGCTGTCTAATATAATTGATTGCCTAGTTTTGTCACTATACTGTATTTGTGTAAAACAGACGCCACATATTTTTAAACGCACCATTAATATCCAATGTCAAAGTACTGTACCGTTGGCTATTTGACTCCGAGAGATTAGATTTATTTATCTTTTTTTGGTGTATAAATATTAACAGCTCAGTATACAATTTTTCGTGCAATGTGAGGTACAGTACACCGGCTCATTAAGGTTGCTGGAAGTACTGTAGTGACGGCAGGTGATGCGTGTCGGCTGATTCTCTACAAACAGTAATTTGATTTTTAACTCACACTAAATTTTGTTAGTTTTATTTTGTGAAATTAATGACGGAAGTATTTATTTATTTTCACTACCTTTCAAATGAATTAATGTACAGTGTGTGACAGAGGTACATCGATTAATTAAAACTTGTTAATTTGATTATTATTATTATTATTATAATAAACAAATATTACAAGAAATAAGTCTTACAGGTAGAAGACAATATCGTCAACAATAATCAGGAATATATCCCACGACCTTTAAGGAAAGTGGTAATTAATTCTTAAACATAAAATCCTCACAAAATCTCATTTCCCAAATAAAAATTACTGATTGAATTCCTTGGTATTTTCTTGTGGCCAATAATACTGTAGAGGCGTGAGAGACTAATGTCATCACAGGAGAAAAGTAATCAAGCGATACTGGCGAAGTGAGAGCACACAAGTCATCAGTGGCCAGAGTGGAGCTTTCCAGGTAAGACAACTCTCTAGTAACCAGAGACATGCATTTACCTTAATTTCTAGTTGTTAAGGTGAGTATTTACGACTCCAGAATGATGTACTACATATATTTTAATTCTTGTTGTCTAGTATATGAAGTGATTCGTAGTCTTCGTAGTCAATGAAGCACAAACATTCAGTTCATACTGTACAAACATTAACAGGTAGATTAAGAAAGAATATATCTTAAATTTTTTTATGTTGTCTAGTGCAGATGTTAGTGGACGGTGCTTAGAGATCCTAGCATCTGAATAACAACAAAAAAGACAACAGCGGAGTTATGATTGTTCAATATCTCTCGACAGTTTTGAGTCCTGAAGGAACAGTTCTACTACGCTGCAGAATTCAATGGAAGCTTTACCGAGTAATATCCCGTAGGTCCCAAGTGTCTGGCTGTAGATAATAATGTAATAATGATAGTAAAGCAGTAATTGTGAGTTGCTAGTACGTTGATCTGCTGAGTTAAAGCTAAAATACGTTCAGGTGAATGATGGTGTGTGTGTCAGTGCGCTATATACAGTACATACTATTTCTATACATTCTATATGTATATGGTCAAAAAAAGGTCTTATTAAGTTTATCCCAACAAGCAGACAGTGATAATTTTATTCCAATTCGGGTTGACTACTTCCAATGCATCAACTCCAGTTCATCCTCTACTGATGTGACTAACGGATGCTTTTCGCGAGAAGGATGTTTTTCTGAGTGTACCTTAACATAATCAGTGACCAATTCTTATTTCCAAAAAGTGTAAATACTGAAATTGGGGATACGAGACGGCATGGTGGCGGCGTTACGGACCGAGGTCATTGTGGTCACCCTTATCTAACTAACAGATAATAATTAAACATATAGGAATAAAAGTATTTTAATATTTCTATCAGTTGTCATTTATTTCTACTGAACAAGAAGAAATGATGATAGAGCAAGTTAAATCGAGCACTGAAGTCAAATTTAGGTGAACATTAAAATGGTAAAAGCAATGTTCAATTTTCATAATAGGTGATTACCAAACTTTTTAGAAACTCTTGAAACAATGAGAGAGGTACAATCAAGGATGATAACTAAGGATATAATAAATTTATAAATATTTAAGCGTTAGAACGGTTACGAAACAGAACGATCTATGAATACTGACAAATACCTAACATTGAAAATAGAACATCAAAGTGAAATAAAATAGTTGTTATGACTATATTACTTACTAATGTTCTTTCGTACGACTTTTCAGGGAGATCTGAAGTACTGGAGTGAACTTTGAGATAAAAAAATGTGGTTGGTGACGCTGCTGTTTGTGGTGTTAACAGTGGACGCCCAGCTTTCCTTGTACTCACGCCTTGCCTTCACCCAATCCCATGACCATCTCCCTCGTACTCTCATCAATGGTAACGTGCTGGGTGATGTTGGAGGTGCCTATAAGCTTCAACATGCTCTAGTTACGGTCTTTCAGGAGGTTTTGGAAGGACCGTTGTCAGGCAAGATGATCTCTCTTCTTGTGGCTCAAGATGTGGAAGTCGATATCAATATTTATGAATTCTTAGGTGGGATGTCCACGCCGGTCCTCCTTATACGGACTTCTGTTAGTAGGCCACGCGACAACAGCTCCCTGGAAACTGGTAACCAACACGACCTTCAACAGGTAGACCAGCTGTACGAGCAGGAAGGAATCGACCAAGCTCAACAGGACAACTCACCGCGTGGCGAGCACATCAACCACCAGCTGTTATCCTACAGTAAGTAAGAGTTATTGTGCCCGTTTTAACACTAAACTGTAAACAACATTCTTAGTGAAGTACTGTTTAGTTGTAATCAACGATATTACTAGAGGAAATATTACTACCTTGTACAGGATTTCTGATAAGATGCTCTTCGACTATTCCTGTCAGCAGGAGGAGAGAGAATGAGAGGCAGCCAACTTAACATTATTGGTCTACAGGTGTGATGGTGGTAGTGGTAGGTAGAGAGGTCCCCTGGCAACTGGTCTCACCCCCTGGATGGTGGTCACCCTCGGCTGTGTTAGTGTTGAGCGTTCACACAAATTGCCAGGCCGCCTCCTTCCTCCAGACACCACTCCTGCAGAAAACCTCGCGAGTGGCACTCCTCTGTCCTAAACACCGCCACGACCACACTCTTGGCCAACCACCTGTTACCTTCACCGTCTACAGCTGGTGCCCGTACCACCCAGAGAGACAGCTGGTGGTAGTGGGAAGGTGGAATCTCACCAAGTTTTCCAGGTGGGGTGAGTTGTTCCAAGACAGGTTCGCATCGTTGTATGGCGCTACACTACACGTCTCCAGCCACGAGGAAGACATGCCTTACGTCTTCAAGAACCCCGACGACACCTTCGACGGTGTGGGGAAGCGGATGACGGAAGCCATCGGGGAATGGATGAACTTCAGCATCACCCTGACCCGCCAACCCAGCGACAGTGAGAAATTTAATACTTAGCATTCTTGATCTGTGACGAAGCTGCCTGTGTTGTCATGCTACAGTACTACCGTCACCTCACCAACAGTGTCGCCACCCCTCACAACCTTAAGGTCATTCAGGCCACTCTCTCCAAAGTCACCTCAAACTCGGTAAAATCCACTAAAATAATTTCAAACTTCGCTCAGATTAATTGATGTCCTAAACTACTTAGATTCCCTATAATTAACCCCCAAAGTTGCTAAAATTATCCTGAAATTAACATGTTTAGCAACTCCTCAAAATTGACAACACTGATCAATGTGACAGCGGAATGCATTCCACATTAAACTTCCACTAACTTTAGCGGCTTTTATCACTTCTATCTCACTACTTCACGACGAATAAAAATTCCGTAAACCTCTTTTGGGGGCAAGAATATCTCAACTAAATAAAACCGTTTGGCGTTAGCCATAATAAAATACCTCTCCCCTCTAAAGGGTTCAAATGAATTTCTACTCTTCACCCTTGTCCACTGTCTGTAGTCTCTATTTCTGCCTGTCTCAGTATCTTTCTTTATGTCTTCCTTTCTGTCTCACTATTGTGTCTTTATCACCTTTCTGTCTCTATGTTTCTATAATATAACAGTAGAAACTTGTAACTTTAAATGCCCCGTGAATTACAAAACTCTGCATACAAAATCTCGTGTGTGGACAACTGATGAACGTGTCTCACATGGAGTAAGCAACGTGCGTTAAAGGTGTTATTAACAGATCGGTGGGGGGAGCTGGTGAACGGTTCGTGGGTGGGGATGCTGGGCCACGTGTGGAGGGGAGAGAAGGACCTCACCATCAACTACTTAACCATCACAGAGGAACGCAACAAATATTTCGACTTCTCCTTCCCATACCACAACGAAGGGTAAGTTACCTATAGTCTATCACACAATGTTCTATTATTTATGTACATTTTCTAATATGACCTAACTTAACCTCGCGGTTGTGGGTCTGAGGCAGGACGGGGATATCGGGGTCGGTAGGACACAGTGCGTGGGTCCGGGGCAGGATCAGCAGCAGACTTGGAGGAATAGAGCTGCTCGAGGGTGTCCATCCTGCGGTGTAGAGACTGTAGCAGGTCCCTCATGTCTTGTTTGTCTGGTGGAATGCTACTTCTCTGAGGAGCGTTGATCTGGTTGACGAGACCGGAGCTAAGTGGTGGTGTGGCCACCGAGTTGTTTGCGGCAGCATGGCGCACAGCAGTGTATTCGAGGCATATTCTGTCTGCCGTGGCTGCGTAGGTCGCCGAGGTAGTAGAGTAGTCCAATGCCGAGAGGGCGAGGCGAACTTCTGCGGGGAGCTTCTGAGTGTGAAGCTGGCGCAGGATAGTGTCAGGAAGCCTGTCTGTGTTGCGGGAGTTCAGTCTCTGCATCTCGTCCCAGAGACGTGCAGGTGTTGAGTTGCTGAGGGAGAGACCGGATAGGTCTTGCAGGAGACTGCCTCGGGCCGCTGGTATCGCCTCTTGAGAGCGTCTCGTAGAGCTGTGAATTTGTTGTCATCTGGGGGCTTAGTGATGACTTCTGAGATTTGTATGGCGACTTCTATGGGCAGGGAGCAGACCAGCGCGACGTACTTCTGTTCGTCTGTAGCTGTAGAGCCGATGAGAGCTGCCTCCATGTGGATTAGCCAGTCTTCAATGTTGTGATTGAAGACTGGAAGAGTGATCCGTTTCTCATCCATCCTGTGTGAGTGCGTTACTCCGGGGTCACTATTGTGGATTTAACGTGATATATATATATATATATATATATATATATATATATATATATATATATATATATATATATATATATATATATATATATATATATATTATATATTATACACAATGCAGTGCTAGGGAGTTGCTGTGTGGTGAGGAGCTTGTTGAGTGGAGGTCTTGTCTGTTTGAGAGCGCTGAGTTGAATGTTCTTCATGGCGAGGTTGGGGGTATATACAGTATACGAGTCCGCCGGAAGTGAACATCGCTGCTGGCCGACCACCAAGCAGTCAGACAGCTAGGTTTCGCTGAGAAACTCGCCGCGGGATCGGCTGGTCAGCGACAGTTGGTGGGGAAAGTATCCACTACATAACCTAATCTCGTCCCTCTAAATAAGCCGGGGTGGAGATTCTGCAGGTGATCCGATAAAGTTTTTGGTAAATTTCTCAGGTGTTGTGATAATTTTTCAGGTATGGATACAGCATCGCCATCCCGCCACCACTACCTCGCTGGAGGAGTCTCGTCTACTCCTTCACAGCACTCGTGTGGGCGGTGATGGGCGGCGTGCTGGTGTTGGTGGCGCTCGTCTTCTGTGCCCTCACCCACCTACATAACCCACTCTCCTTCAGCCAGTGTTTCAGCAGTATCTTACAGGTATGGAGGAGAGTCATTTCTGGCAACATTTTCGAATCATCTGAAGAATATCCGCTTGGGTGGATCTTCTTCGGGTGATCCATATGTTCTAGTCATGAATAACTGTGAAGGTTAACAAGTTGGTCCGTTGTACCGCCCGCTGGCGTTCTATTCATCACAGTTCTCTAATATTTACGCTCTGACTTTCGCTATCAGCAACTTTCGGAGCTTCTACTACTTGTAACTAATTTATGCTCTTGATGTTTACCATTTTTTTTGGTAATACATTCGGGCTGGATAATGTACTACTTTAGTGATGTAATATATTTTCTAATGTTCGTATTTAATCTTCTAAGAGATAATTTCTGAACATTTACTCAAAGTTGCTTTGTGGTCTCCAGCTCGAATTCCTTTTGTTTACAATATCGAAATGGTTAGCCTAGTGTGTCCGAGTGACATCTTTTTCTATCTCTTTTATATTTGAGAATATATAAACTAAGTTTAGACAATATGTGTACGTGAAATATGCTGGAGGAACCAGTTGTGTGGTGTGTTGGTCTCTAACACCTGCACACATTCACAATAACGTGGTCAAAACCCACATTAAAAAACAAAAACTTATGGGTCACCATATGATTAAACTCCCCAAGTCTAACCCACAGGTAGCAATAGGGACTTAAGATGTTAGATCTGTGAAGTTGTGACGCTCACTAAAATTTAACACAGTGAGTAAGATTACAGTACACGACTCTCCCGTACTGTATTAAATAACTATAAGATCTAACCTCTTCAAATATAATAGAAAAAATTTATATTAAAAGAGATCAACTGCAGAGATCCAGTAATATTATCCACGTGAATAAAATCCAACAGACCGACCTAAGAGTTAGTTTCTGGGGCACCACAGAGCTTGATGAACCAGGGGATGAGTCAGGTGCCGCAGGAGTGGTCGCTGAGAATGTTCCTGGGTGGCTGGTGGATCACCGCCTACGTCCTCGTCATCTCCTACACGTGTAACCTGATCGCCGTGCTCACCGTGCCCGTCTACCCCACCAGGATCACCACCATACAGCAGCTGGCTCACACTTACTACAGGTTACATGATACTCACGCTGAATCTGATGCTGCTGTAGTGTCATGGTTATTGATTGCAGGTTGTCTCAGAAGTTGCCTACCGTAGGAAAGCTATTGTTTTTGTTTTTACAGGTGAAGTAATAATAATAAATCAACGTAGGTGACAGAAATCAAAGCTAGAGGGAAAATACCACACAATTGTTGATACTATGTGACTACGACACTTTATCTCTCTTTCGTAGCTAGATGAGACGCTCTTCTTTAATTCTTCAGTTGTTCTTAGACAACCTTGATACACGACAGATCTCAGGTGACTCCAGAGTAAGAAATAGAGATTTGTTATGGTTCCATTACCTGAAAAAAGATAACATTAATTTTCCTATGGTGCGCGACTTACGAGACACCCTGGACAAGAGCCAGGGTTCTACAGTGTCCAGAATTATGATTTTCAGTAAAAAATTCCACATATGTGAAAGTTCTCCGGCAATGATAAATCTCAGGTGACCTAACAGAGAAGGATCCAGCTTCCACTTGTTTACACTCCAGGAGCTGCATGTTGGACTATGGAGAGTTCGTGCCCGAGGCGCTGGCCACCTCTACACACCCGGCACTGTCAGCCTTGGGGGCCAAGCTGGACCTGATGCCTGTTGATGGGACGAGGGAGTTCGGGGGCCAGGAGGGCTGTGTGGGCCTGGTCCTTGAGGGAACTCACGCCCACGTAGAGAGCTTTTCATTCCTTAAGTTGCTGTACTTCCTCCTGGGCCACAAGGATGTGGTGTACTTTGTGAAGGAGCAGATCTACCAGGCCAACCTGGCCTTCTTCTTCAGGAGGAACACCCCATGGAAGTACAAGTTTGACCAGGGAATACAGTCACTCGTAGAGTCTGGCTTGGTGCACAAGTGGTATGATGACATCATGAGCGACATTAAGAAAATCACTACCACAGTAAGTAAATATAAACCTTTTATGTACATTTATTGTACAGTGTGGAATTATAAAACCAATTTCTAATGAGTAACATTTTATATATTTTAAGTAATTCTAGAAGGTATAGCCATTATTCTTTACTATCACGGTTACTTGCAGTTTTATCTTAGTTCCAGTAACTGTAGGTGTAATTTCCAGCTCCCACGATTTGCGGATCGTGTTCTGGGGTAATGGTTAGCCAGTGTAGTTGGCGAGTTGTCCGGTCTTCTCGGATTATTCCTTGACACTGGGTCATACAGCTCGTTAACCTAGGGTTTGGTTGTTGTGTTGGCGACAGCTTCTACACCTTAAACTAATTAACGCCTTGGTGGCCTTGCGGTCGGCCTTCCTCATTACACAAGGGACAGCCATTATATATATATATATATATATATATATATATATATATATATATATATATATATATATATATATATATATATATATATATATATATATATATATATATATATATATATATATATATATATATCTTGATAAATCACACGGAAAAGGGAAACAACGGAGCACCTTAGCTTTCGTCTTTATTCAAGACATCTTCAGAGGCAACTGGACTACATGGACAGAGAGAGGCTTAAATATACAGGGTTGATTGATTAATACGTTTATTGAGATACAAAAAAAACATTAATACATCTCAAAGGGATGAAGTGACATAAGTCATCCTCACCCCAGTCCAGGAATGTCCCTCTCAGGACTCACATAAATCCCTAATATTTCATATAATTAGTTATAATACATAGTTATATTCTAGATGCAAAATTTCTATATTTCTTTAATATTTCATCTATTTTCCCATTTCCAAACATCCACTCTATTTGCATGGGGACCTTAAAAACATGAGGTCAGGTCATAATGATGTCATCCACTAATCCCCACACCAACACACACGTAGAGGAGCTTAAGAGAAGGGGGTGACGTGACTAGTCAGCTCAGGTCAAAAATAAGGGACCCACAAAATAACTATCATACATCTAGATCAAAGGTTTTCAAAGCATATTTAACCATATATATATATATGGTATTAAAATCAGGATAAAAATTAATTGAAATTGTTTGTGATTTCGATAATTATTAATATCGATCACGTTAGACAGTGACTAGCCAAAAGTTCCCCAGTCCAACTAGCATCAAGACCAAACCTCATCATAAAGTTTAGCAGTCCAACCCTAGGGTTAGATCATGTTAGAACGGTAACATTTCACGTGCAACTAAATCAACAACTTAATCTTTCGATTTGAGTCAGAGGAAGACAGCGGGCCGTCAGAACAACCTCTCTCCCTGGGTCACCTCCAAGGCCCCTTCCTACTACACCTGGTTGGTTTGCTGTCATCACTCACCGTCTTCCTCGTGGAGTACTGTACCTTCAACCAGGCGGGCGCCAGTACTCAGTAGGGCCGGGGACCAAGACCTGCACCGTGCTACCGTCCCTACCCTGTCTGTCCTCGCCATTTACTTTTACTTCTACTTTTATCCTCTTCACCATTGATGACTGAGAGGCTCTTGCACCTGTCAAGGTGACTGGTTAACTGACAGCAGACATGACGAAATACTTAAACCTAACTTAAGTTCTGACCTAAACCTCACCTAAACTAACCAAACCTCACTTAAGTTAGCTAATCAAACATAACTTATAACTTAATCATACAGATGGTTGATTTGGTTTGGTTTACTCAGGTTTGGTTAGTTATATTTCCCTGAGAATTATGACGTCATAAAATCCAACCACTCGCTGCTTGGCTGACGATCGTTCACGAGCATGTTGTATGACATACTGACGACACAATTTGAACCATTTTTTATGTTCATTAACTTCCGATTATGGTATATAGACTAGGCCATACTGTAGTGTAGCCTAAGTTGATTATATAGCACACCTTAACCGCTCAGCACTGGCGGACTCAGGATTTCTCAATGGCGAAGGAACACCAAATAATATATTTTCCCATGTAGGGGTCGCGGCCTCTCCAGACAACATGGCAGAACTGTATGCACACACACACACACACACACACACTTGTAATAAGCTGCAATTGCTGGACTACTTTCAGTTTATAATAAACATTCGCAAATCCATTTTATTTTATTGACCAATGCATTAAAAAATCAATCAACCATGACAAAATGTCTCGGCCTAATATACACTCTGGAGTGTCTGCAATCACCACCTTGTAGGCCACTACTAACAACTGGGCCAACACAACACAAACTGAACTGACTGGAATTTACTTAGCCACAGACTACCTTAAAGAAAATAGGGGTGGGGTAATATTCTGTGAATCTCAAAGTGTTTTGAAATCAATGAACAGCCCGTCAGGCTCTATGTCTAAAGTTGTATGTGATATTAAAAGGAATGTGATAACTGCCAATGAGAACAACTTTCGTGTCGAATTTGTGTGGATTCCGTCCCATGTTGGAATCAGGTGTCATGACCGTGCTGATAGACTGGCCAATGAGGCATGTAAGAAAGAAAATGTTGACCGTGACCGTGACCTGTCCAATGCTGTAATTAAAAACATTCAAGTCAGAATCATGAGTAAATAAACAATGGGTGTTCATAAGAGATGACTGTTCAATTACATAAGAAAATGGAAAGAAGTATTCTGTATTTGGCATGTTTTTATGAGTGGCTGGCGGACGTAAGAAGTTTAAATATCAATACTATTTATGTATTGCCAAAGTTATATTAGTATCATTTATGACAGTATAATACATTACAATATTTAAACTCTTAAACAAAATATCTTTTATACATCCTTAAATGAATTCAAAGAAGCATAAGAGAAGTTTTCCCCGAGTCTTTCAAAACACGTGATGTAAATATTATGGTCGAGGAGGAATGGGAGGAGGGTGTCGCCCCGTCAGAGCCCCTGTAACACCGTCAGAGCCCCTGTAACACCGTCAGAGCCCCTGTAACCACCGTCAGAGCCCCTGTAAAACCGCTGAGGATGGCACAAGAGCTGGATAACCTTAAAGTTCTTCCAAGTTATAACGTCGAGAATATAATTATTGACGAATTTCAGAGATGTAAAGGTGGGTGTGTCTTTTCGTGTGAGATTGAGATGATTTAGTGGAAAGGTAATATTAATATATAAACATAAATGGGACACGGGACAGTAATTGTGAAGGGGAGGAAGTCAATCCCTATTACTGTATTTAGGCATTAAACTTTCATGGATTAAAATTTCAGAGTTTTATATTTTCTTTCAGAGGCTGGAGAACTTTTGTACATTACCAGCGACAGTAGTAATGTATACAGTACAGTACAGTACAGTACACCATATACCAGTATACCATATACCATATCTAGGAAATTGGGGATTAAAAGACCAAGAACGATGAAAAATGAGAACTTAAGCCAAAATTCTGTTAATAATAACATACTGTAAACTAGAATTACTATTATTATTATATGTTACTGAATTGCTGTGTAATGTTCAGTATTAAACTTAGGTAAATCTTTACTGTAGGGCATGAGTCCCTAGGAGTTAACCAATATGTTTTTCTAATGTATTTTGGTGTGTTTTAAACGAATCTGACCTTTTTTTTTGACGGATATTGCTAGTTTTACCCCCCCCCTCCCCCCCCAACAATAATGGGGGAAAGCCTGGGAAATCGGGGTTTTTCGGTGGGGGAGAAAACAAAACTAGTCATTTCACCTAACTCCTAGCCAGGGGCTCCGTTCCCGGACCCCCGGTAGGCCTAGCTTAAACTAACCTAAATGTTTCAGTAGTTAAAAACTCTGGGGCGCATCATGTCCTAAAGTACAATACCGTAGTTAGAAGTGGAAGGACCAGGGATATGTAAGAATTGGATAGAATGATCGTCTTTCTCGTAAAACTTAAAATAATCGTAGGAGCACAAATAATAACCAACCTTCACCACGGCCATTGTGAGACTGGCCAATGCAATTACCCAGACTGCTCCCTTTGAAAAAATCAAATATGATTGGTTGAAAAAATTTCGTGCGAAGATATCGATACCTCATTGGTCACGACTGGTTGACGTCAGTCAATATTGCGCATGCATCATGTGCCGATAACATCTCCTCACAGACGAAGACTGAAAACTACTTAAAATCAATTAAATTCAATTGTGTTGCTATTATCCATTTCCGCGATGTATATATGTGGTTCAAAATGCTCGGAATAGCGAGATCTAGATGTTTCAGTAGTTTATAACTTTCGGGGGCACTGTTTCTGAAAGTAAAATAATACCCAAACATATAATTACATTTTAAAACAACAACTCACACAATATCTTGACTTTGGAAGACAATCATTTATGTAATGTATTTGAGGAACAGTCTCTTTATGACTCCATCTGTTTAAGACAGCAGTGTTGGCTGCACAATTTTGCTTAATGGTGCTGTTGGGTTCATCTTTTTGTACTCTCTAAAACAATATTGTACAGTACTCTGTAAGATAATTGCAGTACTCTGAACAGCTGAACACAGTGTAATGTAACTGCACCCTCACCAGGCCACTGTTACCTTGATCATGCTGCAGCAACATTGTACAGTGACAGCCAGATTAAGGATACACTAAGTGAGCTTCAGTCATCATTGCTTGGCAACCCCCACTCCCGACACTTCCCCAGTGACACCTCCACACAGTTAATTGAGTCTGTGCGCCAAAGGTAAGAAGGAAATTAAATTACTGGACAATGCGTCTGTGACATCTGTGCTATACTGTACTGTCCCAGTCTGTTTATCAATAGAAACTAAGTGGCAATCCCCATATTGAATGGGTTAATCTCGTCTTATTTTTCCAGGATCTTAGAACACTTCAACACCACAGCAGTAGAGTATGATGTCATCTTCACCTCAGGAGCAACTGAAGCTTTAAAGATTGTTGCTGAAAATTTTCAGTGGAATGGCAGCTCTAAAGCCTTTCATGGACCTGACAATGATATTGTACCTAAAAATAATTCTGAAGAACAAGTCCACCAGAAACACCCAGAAGTTGAAGACTGTAGTACTGACAGTAGCACAGGATCCAGTGAGAAGCAAGTGATAGAAGCAAGTCCTGGTGCATTTGTATATGTGAGAGAGAACCACACCTCAGTCTTGGGGATGAGAGGTCTGGCTCACCAGGCAGGTGCTGAAGTCTATTGCCTCCCGTACAAAGAAGCTCTTGAAATATTTCAAAAAGCTCCCTATACATATTTAGTTGGTGATAACATTGATTCATTTATTGATGGTAATGGTAGGAAGGAATCCACAGAGCCACCAGAGGAAAATGAACAACTGAAAACAAGAAATATTGACAGAATGAATGAAGAAAGTTTTAGCAACAGAAGAAACTGCCTCTTTACTTACAGTGGGCAGTGTAACTTCTCAGGAGCAAAAGGGCCTCTGGAGTGGATAGAACAAGTCCAGAATGGTGCACTGAATGACTTCTTAAAGAAGTCTCCAATCAATGATCAAAATAGTTTAATGAAAGGTACAGTATGGTGTGTAGAGGATGTACAGTACAGTAGCTAGATAGATACTGTACCCAACTTGGGGCTTTTACTGAATATTGTAACTCTACTTTGCATTTTTAACTTTGATTTTTTTATCTAAACCAGAATGAATACAATGTATATCCAGAAGCATTGACTTTAACACAGTTAACGATAATGATATCGGGAAAATTATAATGAAGGTCACCCTTTGTCATCATATAGACTACTCTTCACATTTTCTCTCTCTTGTTCTTCTGTTACTTTCCCATCATTTATTAAAACTCCTTGTCTCTTTTATTGAAATAGTCTAATAAAATCACAATATGTTTTACAATGTGTGTTGTCTTGTACAGTATAGGATAAGCTGAAGGCAACTGCTGCCCTTGTGTGACCTCTAAACACTCATGTAAAATACTGGATGAAAGTTAATATGAAAATGACTGCTGTTTTTATGGGTTATGTAAAGTATTTTTTCATAGAGGGGAGAGCAGGTTACTTGGGGGTATTATGTAACTTATATTATTGTGAGTGTGATGGTAGGGACTGTTTGATTGTCTCAATTTCACGAATGACTGAAAAATGCTGTAAATTTTAGGGAGTTTTAATGATATTTGTCTAAAAGGTAAATGCTTTGAACTTCAAATAGAAGCTGTTTTCCCCCTTTTTTTCAGCCAACACATCTGACCTACGATGGTTTGTGTTGCTGGATGCTGCTGGGTTGTCTGCCACTTGTCCTCTTGATTTGTCTAGGTGGCAGCCAGACTTTGTTCCTGTCTCCTTCTACAAAATTTTTGGATATCCAACAGGACTAGGTAACACTTTTTTCTCATTACTCTTCTATTCTTAAGGTACAGAATAAAATTTAATACTATACAGGTATATCTTATTTGCTGTGGTGGGGTTGAACAGTGAATAATATAGAATGTACAGTACAGTACTTTAGTGTTACAGTTTATGTTGTAATTATGAGTACTGTACTGTATTGTACATGTATTTTGTACTCTTGTGTAGTTTAAATTATCTTACAGGATGCTTGCTTGTGAGGAACACAGCTTGGCAGTTATTGAATAAAAGCTATTATGGGGGAGGTACAGTACTCATGGTTGACTCCAGGCAGATGGTGCTTGTACCACGACCCAGACTTCATGACAGGTATAGCAACACAGTTACAAAATTTTTATTTGTAAAAATATGATCATTTGGGCTTTGGGAACCTAGGAATAGTTGTGTAGAAAAAGGCATGAACTGTTTTCTTGTTGTAGTGATGAACATTTATTTATTTAACTTTACCTAGAATATTGTATAAATTTGTCAGAATGAATAGTTTGTCGTATCTGTAAACCTTGAGGTGGTTGTTGCTGTATTACCAGATCCTGTTACCTATTACTGTATGTTTATATTATATGTCCTTGTTGATGTGCTCTCATAATCTTTACTTTTTCTTCACTAACTGCAATTTTAATAATTGCTCTTTTTCAAATCAATGTAGATTTGAGGATGGAACACTTCCCTATCTCAGTATTCTTGCCATCAGACATGGTCTTGATACAGTCACCAAACTTACAGGTACAGTACTGTATTCTCTTCTATCATAGTTTAACCCACACCTTGAGTTTTTACTTTACATAACTACTGTACTTATGTCAGTGATCAGTGATATTTTCTGAGAACTGATATGAGTAATTTGGATCACTTTTCTTGAACATCTCGGGTTATTACAGTTTACTATTATTTTCCCAGAGTAATAGTGCCATGATGAAATGAATGGGGTTTTCTTCTGATCATGTTGAGAGAGAATGAGAGCAGCCAGGGACCACATCTCCCTCCCCTCAACTTAATTGGACAAGAGTGAAACACAAATGCAGTACTAATAGATATTGCAAATTGCTCTTTACAATTCAGAATAAGGAGAGTTAATGTAATGTGTATGTTAATTTTGTTATTGTTGATTTAGGGAAGTGGGAACTAAAAGATAGTGTTGTGTTGATGCCTCAGGTGGTATGGGCAACATCCAGCAACATGTGTTCCACCTGGCCAGATACACTCACCACGCCCTCAAAAGCTACAGACACGCTAATGGATCTCCTGTTGCTCGCCTGTACTCTGAAGAGGACCAGTGGGACGTCAACACACACGGGTCCATTGTTAACTTTAATTTGTTAAATTCAGATGGATCCTATGTTGGATATGCCCAGGTTGGTGGCAGTGAGCCAGTGAAGTGTTTCAGGTTATTAGAGTTTGAACATTTTCTTTGGTCATTATACTGTTACCTTTTTCCTACATTCATAATCCAACTCTTTTATGAGTAAGAAACAGCACTGTTTATATACTGTACCTCCAAATGTGTTCAACTAACAGGGAAGTTAAGAGATATTAAAATGGATTTTGTCACTTATCTCTCGTTAGTTCATTCTTGAGCATAACTTAATATCTGTTTCAGTTACCTGCATAAAACATACTACAGTACTGTACACAATTTAAAATATTAGTAAAGCAGTACAATTTCCTTCATAAATTGGATTAATTTATTTCAGTGTGATTTCCTTAATTGGGGAATGAGAATATTGAGGACTGTTTTCTTGTTAAGTTGTGAAGCCAGAATGTCATTGGGTGATATAGTGTATTGCAATGAATGATGTTATTACTCTCTTGTTTCAGGTAGAGAGAGTGGCCTCCCTGTACAACATTTACCTAAGAACAGGGTGTCTGTGTAACCCTGGAGCGTGTCAGACTCACCTTGATATCTCTCAGGAAAATTTGCTCCACCAGTATGAGGTGTGTCTATCTATTCTGAAGTTGTCAAGAGTCATTATGGTAACTTATGAATCACAAATGTGGTTTTACAATAAAAGAAAAATAATTTTACAAGTTTACTTATCACATATACAGCTGCTCCCCGACTTACAACGGGGTTAGGGACCCAAATCCAGGTCGTAAGTCGAAATGGTCATAAGTCGAAAATGAAAATAATAATACATAGAAAATCTAAAATGAAATACAGTACAGTAAAAGTGATCAATAATGAAGAATGGATACAGTCTTACTGTGCACTTACCTTTAATGTAGTCAGCTAAATGCATATGGGGCCCCCATCATTTTCTAATTATACAGGGAGACTACATTAATTGGATGAAGCAGAGGAGGAGACAGGGCTGGGTGGGTCATCAATGTCACTTTCTTCAGACAGGTTAACATACAGGGGGAACTTGCTTGTTGAAGGTATTGGATCATCTTACGGAGTGAAGGGGCAGCAGTGGTGGGGCGTGAGGAGACAGCAATGGGGGACTTCTTAAAATATATGTCCGATTTAGACTGCAGTTTGCTTTTTCTTTTCATTATAAATCTCCCTGAAGCAAGCAAGTGCATCTTGGACCATTCTGTCAACTTTGACAAAATGCTCAACATTTTGATCCATTCCGTCAATCATTTGCATCCCCTTATTAATTGTAGCAAATGCCTCTGCCATTTGTTTCACTGAAAATTTTTTTGGGGGTGCAGGTTCTTCTACATTTTGACTCTCTTCTTCCTCTGCAATTTTCTGTGCTTCCAGTTCAATAAGATCCTCGTTACTTACTTCTTCTGCTACACTTTCAACCAACAGCTCAACATCTTCATTATCAATTTCTAACTCCACCTGTTTACCCAACTCCACTATCTTGTTACTAATCTCAGAAATTACTTCATCTTCATTAAATCCTCTGAAATTGTTCACATATCTTTACAGGACTTTCTTCCATATTCCATTCATGCACTGACCTGTAACCTCATCCCACGCTGCAGCTATGTTCTTTATACATTTCAAACTGTTGTAGTCCTTTCAAAACTCTGAGCGTTTCTCACCTTCAGTAGGAGAAACAGCCTGAGCGAAGGTCGTACGTAAATAATTTGCTTTAAAAGCAGCAATAGCACCTTGATCCATGGGTTGGATGATAGTGGTCGTGTTAGGTGGAATGTAGACTACCCTAACATCAGGGTGCAGGTCGTCCAGTTGTGGTGGGTGTCCCGGAGCATTATCCAAAATTAACAAAACCTTGAATGCAATCCCTTGTTGCAGACAATACTCCTTGGCTCGTGGAATGAAACAAGTCAGGAACCAATCCTCAAACAGTACTAGGGTCATCCATGCTTTCTTATTACTGCGATAAAATATAGGCAGTGTGTGCTTGCTGACATGTTTAAAAGCCCTGGGGTTCTTTGAATGATATATCATGAAGGGCTTTATCTTGAAACCAGCTACATTCCCCCAACAGAAGTGTAATTCGGTCCTTGAATGCCTTGAATCCCGGCATTGTTTTAGCCTCTTTGTGGATGTATGTCCGTTCTGGCATGCGCTTCCATAATAAGCCAGTTTCATCCACATTAAATATTTGCTCAGGCAAATAATTTCCCTCCACGATGACACGATCTAGCTCCTCCTTAAAAGCTTCAGCAGCACCCACATCAGCACTTGCTACCTCTCCACTCACCTTTACACTAAGCAAACTACTGTATAGCAGTTCTTAAACCTTTGGAACCACCCATGACTTTCTGTGAAGGTTTGGTCGCACTCATCTCCTGCCTGCTCCTTCAGGCTTTCGAAAAGGCTTCTTGCTTTAGCCTGTAGGGTTAGAAGGCTTAAGGGTACACGTTTTTGTATCTGATCTTCCATCCACATCACAAGTAATTTTTCCATCTCATGAATAGGACCTTATCATTTCTTTGTTATTATTGTTCCCTTTATAGGTGCTGATCCTTTCACTACCTCACGAATACGTTCCTTGTCCTTCAAAATACAATGGTCTCTCGGTTAACGAACACAATTCGTTTCAGAAGGTTGCTCGTTAACCGAAAAACTCGTAAACCGAAACCATTGTTTCAGTGGGTTTTTGGGTAATTGGTTCCAGCTCACCGAAAATTGCCTAAAATCAGCAAAAAAGGTAGTAAAGTACACTTACTTTGAGGTGTGTATGTAGAAGGCTCCTGGATAATGATGATGATAGGAATTAGAATGGGGGTGGAGGAGAAGGGAGAAGAGAAGGCATTGGGGTGGAAGAGAAGTCACCCCATGGTGCCATTTCACCCATAAAATTTTAGTTCTCTTGGTGTAATTCAAGATTATTTTCTTTAAATCAACACTGTACTGCATTATATATTGTCAATATGTAAAATAAATTTCAAAATGACCAATAATTTGCTTGGAAACACAGAAAAAAAGCATTCAGTTGAAGAGAGTCTCAAGCAAGATGTTACCTCCACTGAAAAGACACAGAGACTGACGCCTGTTTGGTGTGTTGACACGCTGTTTGGCGCGCATAAAACTAGTTTCCTGTACTTCTATTATGTTCAATAATTGTTAAAATGACTAAAAAATTTAATATTAAACTTTTAAATTTATTGAATAGTATAAACTTCTTGATATTTACTAAAATAGTAAGGAATTTAAGCCCTAGAACCGATTACTGTATTGGTGGACTAATACTACAGCTGGTGGACCGCCAAATGCAAGCGAAAACATGTTGAGGTCCGCTCGTAAGAAACTCGTTAATCGAGGGATTGCTTGTTAACCGAAGTTAAGAATCTTATGGAAGGTAACTCGTTAACCGAGGGATCACTGTAGTAGATATCGTTGAGTGAGAGAAGCCTAGGTCGCGTGAAATGGTTGCTACCATTTTTCCATTTTCATATTGCATTATTATCTGCATTTTCATCTCAAAAGTAATTGACTGTTTCCTTTTCTTCTGAGCACCACCAGCACTCTCACTTCTACGCTTGCCAGTCATTTTAAAGTGAATTAGATACGACAGCCAAACACCAACTACTGGTAAGCGCTCTACGGCATGGGTGCCGTAGCCACGAGGTGACCCAGCTCACGCGACGCTCTCGTACTGGACGGAAACGTTTCGGTCTAGAAAATATGGGTGTCATTTGAAAATTTTTTGGTACCGACTGCGGCAGTCGTATGTGCGGGTGGTCGTGGGTCGAGTATGTTGTAAGTCGAGGAGTAGCTGTATAGCAATTGGTTCTTAGATTTTTTTTAATTCTGAAGCAAACATTTCTGTAGTTAAAACCATCTTGATAAATGAACAAATACTGTTTCATTATAAGGTTGACTTCACAGAATCTTTCCACTGCCACAGCTGACATATGGTAACTATTCCTCCAGGCTGGACATGTTTGTGGAGATGCTCAGGACTTAGTGGATGGGTTGCCAACAGGTTCAGTGCGTGTCAGCTTTGGCTACATGAGTTCATATAAGGATGCTGACCTTCTTCTGAAGATGGTACGAGAGTGTTTTGTTGACGGACCACTAATGTTGGAGTTGTCTTGGATGAAGAAAAGTGTAGTGTTACCATCCAGGACTAATGTGGGTAAAGGTCCTGGTGAAGATAAATTACATGATGGATGTGGAAATGTTGCAACACATGACAAAGTAACGGTTATTAGTGCATGTATTGATGTTGAAGGTCTCAAGTTTAGCGACAGTGAAACAGATGTGATAACAGAGAGGAGCTTAAAACTTTTAGATTCAAAATATAATTCACAACAGTCACACAATGTGATAGATGAGAATGAAAAAGTTGCAGCCCCATGTGTTGCCGGAGAGTTAAGTAACAGTGAGGCAGCCAGTCTAACACTTACTGATATTATTATATATCCAGTCAAGTCATGTGCTGGATTTAAGGTGCAGAAATGGAACATAAGTCTGGAAGGTCTCAAATACGACCGACAGTGGATGATAGTGACAAGTTCTGGTGTGACATTAACACAAAAGAGGCTCCCACTCATGAGTCTTATTACACCTCACATTAACCTGGAGGCTGGAACTCTCACGCTTGCATATAAAGGTAATATCATTGCAATTGGTAATTTTATCAGCATACACTCTACTGTAAACATGGTGTACTGTATTATTCTAAACTTGATTAAATTCATTCCATTTTAAATGGTAATTTTTCAGATTCTCTGTTTTCATGGAATAATTTTGTCATATAAATATGAAAGAAAGAATTATACACCTATTGTTAAGATGTAGTTTACACGATTACCATTGACAGGTGAGATGGACGTGAGTGTGCCTCTTGAACCTCCAGTGTCAACAACAACTGAGATGTCTGTGTGCGGAGGTCGTGTGTGTGGTGATCGGGTGAGAGGATTAAACTGTGGACCAAAGGTTGGCAGTTGGCTCTCTCAAATGCTGGGCCAACCTCACCTACAACTGATGCAGCAGATGAGCAAACGAACAGGGAAACTGGAGTCTGATGTCCATGGTGAGCTTGATATGTGAACTTTCTTGAGTATAGGTGTATGTAGTACAGTATACATTTACCTGTTGTTATTATTCCTCTCTCACTTTGTTATTAGCTGGATCAGGGGATGGGTACAAGAAACCTGAAAGAAGGGGAAAAAATAACAAGAAGGTTAGTGCAAGTCACATTTAGGTAACTACTCATACAACAAGTAAGAATATCCCTGCAAGCTTATTTATATCTTCTGCTTGTTTATACTGTGTACAAGCTGAATCTTAATATATCCAAATTGACTCTCATCACTTCATATTATTTCACTATTCTTACTAAATTAAGTCATTGGGTTTTATACCTCCTTCTAATGTTGATTCTCTTCTTTGGCCACTTCTGTTGGTTGCATGTTAACAGTGACAAAAGTCCAGGTCACACACCATCAGTAAAGGTCACCCCACTTCAGCAAACATTAACAGTTACCACCATACAAAAGTTGAAAAAACAACAACAATTATTCCAAATTCCTGAGGCCAGTACAATAATACAATATATGGAGCTGTTGCTAAGTAACAGTTGTGAGAGATAATTCATTTAGATTTTTTAGATATAAATTTGTTGAGCTGTTTGTTATATCATTATAACAGTGTCATATTTTGTTGACAAGAATGAGTAAGACAGGTATTGTATTAACTTATACACCACAGTAGTAATAAAATGTCATTAATCTTGTCATCTAAACATTACAGGACACTTGAGGGAGAGTCTGTCTCTGGTGAATGAGTCTCAGTATCTTGTGCTCCACAGACCAAGTGTTCGCAAACTTATACTTGAAATACAGAGAAGAGGACTAAATGAATTGACTGAAGTAAGTGTGTCTGATGATATATTCTTGTAGTGTGTTTGGAAAATCCCAAACTAGGCTTTTCTTTATTAACTATTTGTTATGATTTAATACATATTGAATGTGTGAGAATATCATTTATTGTGGAACTCAATCAATCAATCGGAGTACCCTCTGAAGGTTGGCGGCCATATTTCTCCATTGTAAACTACAATTATGCTGTGCCTGTAAGTTCTAAATGACATTTTTGTACTTTTTCTCAGGCATATTGACTGATTTTACCATTTACACATATTACATTTGACTGTCCATATAAAAAGTATATTCCATGAAAAAAATGGGTGATCTATTTTTGGGTGAGGCACCTCTTGAGAGGGGCTGCCTTTTTCTGGAAAGTGAAAACTAACATGTTGACATGATAAAGTTAGTCTATATTAATGAGAAAATATATATAAAGGTGATAAAAAACTTATGAGCTCAATTTAATTGGTGTTTTAAATATTCTAAATGTATGTACAGTGAACCCTACGCGGTTTCACTTTACGCGTTTCTACATTTACGCGGTACCCTGCCAGAACCGGAATTCCCACTTTACGCGGTGCATCTACTCATATACGCGGGTGAAGTATAATTTTTTTATTTAGCTCATAAAATTCATACAAATTATCCAGCCAGAATATAATTTACATTGCTGGAATTCTTACAATTTGATGATCATTTTGAATATAAGCATCATAGATTTTGCATTAGACATACAAATTTTAGATCTAATGCAAGTATTTTGTTTACTCAGAGCAAATATGTTATCTTTTGTGCAAAATATATGACATTTATATTCAAAATATTCCTGGTCTTACAAGGAATCCAGCAATGTCAATTATATTATCCTAACTTTAGTTTGAGGTATTATTTATTACTATACCTTAAAATCTAGTGGTTTTCCCCAAAAAATTTCTTAGAGAGGGAAGAGCCAGCGAGTGTAGTGTGAGAAGAGGGGGAGGGAGTTGAGTCCATTATTTGAATGGACATTAACTTGGCGACTGTATTTCTCTATTTCTCTTAAGTATTAATTGTGTACATGTACCATCATAAAATTAAGATGTTATTTTTACTAGAACATAGGTATTGTGTCGGAAAAAGTGGAGTTTGGGGGTCAGCCGGTCTCTATTTCATTTAATCCCATATGTTATGCTGTTCACTTTACGCGTTTCTCGCTTTACGTGGGCCTCCGTGGGTTCAATTGACCGCGTAAAGTGAGGGTTCACTGTAATTATTTCAAGGCTCATTAATTAACACTTAATTACTAAGATTTCTAGATTTTGAAACCAGATCCTTAACCAGCATGTAAAGGAATATCATTGTATGAAATTAGAGCAAAATCTGTGTTTTGATATGCAGAAATGCAAATTCAAAATCATAAAATTTGAGTAATTAGTGTTAAATAATGAGCCTTGAAAAAATAAAAACAATTAGAATACAGTACAGGTATTTAATAGTCAATTATGGTGTACCACTAAGTTTTAAATCATTTTTATACAAGTTTTCTCAGTATTATAGACTAAGTTTTCCCTTTACTGTATACACAATAATTTTCACTTTCCAGAAAAAAGGCATTCTGACTCCCAAGAGACATCTGACCTTGTATTTGACCAAGAATAGTCAAAATTTAGATTTTGTTCAAATTTCATTCCAAGGTACTCCTCATCATGCTTGTTAAAGTGACAGCTCTTAAATATACTGTAGAGAGCAGTACTGTACTATGAAGAGCAGGATGGTAACAAGTTACTTGTTTCTTCATGGCAGGACGAACTTTTGATGCGATTCAGAGGGAATATTGTGGTGGATGGAGGAGACCCTTACGAGGAAGATACCTGGTCCTCCATGGCTATAAATGACCTTCACTTCCAGGTACTGTACAGTATAGTAGAGAAATACTGTACCAATTTTTTTATGTGGAGAATAAAGAAAACTTAAAAAGACTTACATCCAGACACCAAAGCCAGAATACACAACCATTACTATCTCATATGTGACGCCTCACCCCCTCCTGGGAGTTCCCCCTCTCTACAAGGTTCATATATTTGACTATTACAGTACCTTAATATTTTATCTAACTTGCTCTCAAAAGTTTACTTACTACCAGTTTGTGCTACAATTCATAATCTATAACTTAGGAAAAGCCAAACAGTGGATGACCATATATAAGTTAGTTTAATTGGTTGTGACTGAGACGTGCGTACAGTGTTTACTAATACACCAGTGAGGGGATACCAGGAGCTCAGAGCAGCTGACCCTTTCTTGATAGCTTTTACTGCTACAGGGACATGCATTGTCACACATTTGTCCAAAACGTGCCCTAATCATCCTACATTTTGGAAACAAGAAATTAAAAATGTTTGGTAAATTTAAATATCTGTTGTTTTTGTGTGCCTCTAGTATTTTTTATACAATATTCTACCCAATACATTTAGTTTTGTCAGACATTTTTCCATTAGTTGTAGAGATGTTTTAACCTGCTTTGGTACTGTCACAAAGAGATTCTTTTTATAACAGTGTCCCTCAGGTCTTCCTTCTCTGTAGATGCCCAGTTGACCCTTCTAACACTAGGGGAATGTAGCCTTTATGGCATCACTCTTAAAATTATAGCTGTAAGTGATACATAGGACTAATAACACCATACATTATGTATTTCAGTAATTAAAGGTTGTTTTCTTCTATTTTAACATTTGCTAATGTATTTACAGGTATTATTTTTTTGCATCTCATTTTTGTTAAAACTTCCAACAGATACAAGGTGGATGTAGACGATGCCAGATGGTGTGTGTTGTCCCTGACACTGGAGAACGTACCAGAGAGCCAATGTTAACACTTTCGGCTACCAGAGGTTCATCTATGAAGTTTGGCGTCCATGCTATGACAGTCATTGCTAAGGAGTCCACAAATATGCCAGAATTGAATCTTTTTGTTGGAGCACCAGTAGTAGTGTACACAAGCAACATTGATGCCAGATCACAGTCATGACGATAATAAGAAGATAGGAATAGCTGTCACACTGTATGGACTTTGAATATAAACCTCTTTATTTCTGAGTAGCAAAGATATGTGATACAGGGTAATGATGTTCTGAATATGTGATATTTCTCACTAGTATATAAGGGGTCATTGATTTACACCCATCCATCCAACCACACTTCTTATCAGGATAATGTAAAACATATCCAGGGTAGACTACTGTACAATTCTTTATGTGCATCTCTGGATTATTTAATTATGTTTTTGAGACCATTTGGTTGATTTGTTTATCAGTGGGGTACAGTACATTTAGAAATAACTCCAATTTTTATGCCAGCATTGCAAAAGCAGGTGGGACAGGGTAGCATAATGACTTGCACCAGTAATGTCTGTATCCTCCAAGATTGTTTTATTATCCAATATGTATACAGGATAGAGCTCTAGGAGTTTTATAGATCTTTCTGTTTTGTTGATTATCTTGTCAAATTGTTTAATTTTGAATCAGTGGGGCCACAATTACTCTTGTTCTGGTGCATTTGATATTTGAATCACTCATAGTTTCTATACAGTACAGGAATACCCCGGTCATTGCAAAGGATGCATTCCTTAAAGTCATTGCAAATAACAAATTTGAGAATGTCAGGGGATCTCTCACCAAATATTTTTCAATATACTGTACAGGTACACTCAATATAATACAGTACAGTGGTCCTTTGGTTAACGAATTACCTCCCATAAGGATCTTCAATTCGGTTAACGAACAAAACTTCGATTAACGAAATCCTTACGAAAAATACGTTTTGTTGTGAGCATCAGCTGATGGGCTAGTCTACCAATTCAGTAATCTGTTCTATGTTTACATTCGTTTCCAGTGGAGTAAATATAAAAAAAAATGTGCTCCTTAATAATTTTTGCATTTTTTATATTAAAGTTATTAGTCATTTTAAAATTTATTTAACACATTGATAATATATGCAGTACAGGGAACTAGTTTTTTGTGCGCCCATCAGCCGCTTGACTCAGCCAACAGGCGTCAGTTTGGCTTTGTTGACAGTGGAGTGAACATCAATTTTTTTGGTGTCTTGAATATTTTTGCATTTTTACAATAAAATTATTGGTCATTCTGAAATTTAGTTAACAGTGCAGTGTTGATTTAAATAAAATAATTTTGAATTACACCTAGTGAACTTAAAATTTTATTGGTGAAACTACTGCATCAAGCATGGGTCCCCTGAAAGGTGATTTCTCCTCCATTCCCACTTCCTTCTCTTCTCCCTTCTCCTCCACCCCCACTTCTAATCCCCATCATCATCATCAACCAGGAACCTTCTACATAGACACCTCAAAGTAAGTGTACTTTACTGCATTTTTTACTTTGTACTGTATGTACTTTTCTGTGAGCTGGAACCCAATATCCCATTGAAACAATGGATTTGGTTAACGAAATTTTCGTTTAACGAACGACTCTGTGGAACGAATTGTGTTCGTTAACCGAGGGACCACTGTACTGTATAAAATAACTACAATACCCTGTACTTTACAATAAAGGCAATCCAAAAAAACACTGTGTGAGTGAGTGTGTCAGTGTGTATAATGATTATGAATAAGTAAACATTTAAACTAGCATTTACCTTTGCTGCGAGTGTTGATGGTATACTGGAGGCCTCTTTCCAGGTGAGGCAGTAAAGTGAAAGAAGGGCACTTGGGAGGTATTGTGAATGGCCTCTTGTGATTCAGTACGTTACCACATAATGCAACAGATCAAACCAGACTCTTGCGTGGCCTGGCATATACAGTAAATACACAACAAAAGCATGTAATTGCGCAGCGTGTTCGTGCAGTTTGAGTCGCCACCCACTTCTTCTGGCAGTGAAATATTACTGTAACTCATCATTATTTTTTCCTTGCAAATAAGCGTAAAACTTTATGTTGAAAATATCGAATAAGGGTGTTAAAATATTATTTGCGAATACCTGTACTGATACAGTATTTATTTTTGTTCATGCTGAATTTTGGAAATTTCTTAGTCACAGGTTAGTATGCCAAATTTTCTTAACCTTCCTTTACCTATATAACCCATGCACTCTCATCTTTGTGCTACATCTGTATTTTCAACCACTCCGGGGGATGGGGGGGGTAAAAGTTTCTGTACTGTAATCTTAAATTCAGTCTTCATTAATCATTCAAGCCAGTACTACAGTATACTATACTGTACTGTACTGTATTGAGGTGTGTGTCATACTACTGTCATTGACCCCCTCACAGTATATACTCTACACTTAATTTTCTCCCAATCTCTGCTTATTGTTACCTGTGCATATATTATTTAGATTTTTTTAGTATTTGTTTATTCCCATAGCGTCTTCCACACAATAAATGGAAACTAATCCAACATATTTCTTTCTTTTATCAATCCATTTTATACTTGACTTCTTGTGCCTTTAATATGTGTACCTGTACTCTACTGTACTGTACTGTACTGTATTCTCTCTTCCTGGTATACAGTATTAAACATTTCTTTAATTCACCTTTTAAATCAACTTATTACTAAAGTACAATAAAGTATTTGTGAACCAAAAAGTTGGGGACCAAGAAGCTTCTGTAAAATGGATAATTACATAAAGTGTTAACCATCATGAACATGTGTCCAAGGAAAGTTGATAAAACTGCTCAAATCACCAGTAGAATAGATTATTCTTATTTTTCTCTGTATACAGACCACTACCAAACAATATATGTTGCTTATACAGACCACTACCAAACAATATATGTTGCTTATACAGACCACTACCATACAATATATGCTGCTTATACAGACCACTACCATACAGTGCAATGACCACGGTCGTACACGTCAGTTAACCTAAAATCAGACGATTCATATTAGGTTCAATAGCCCACAAAAAATGTAGCTATGCCTTATTTATTGAGTCTCCCATCTGAGGCGTTCGTTTTCTCATCTCAACTTGATATGTTTGATTACAGTTGAAGCAATCAAGATCCTTTGTGTGTGGTGTTGAAAGCTTCAACTGTCTTTATTGTTAGTAACACTTGTCAAGTAAGCAAGTGTCAAGTCTGCCAGTACGAATGGCATCCTGTGATACTGTCCTTGAGGATAGCCAGGAGTTTCTAAGTACTACTGAAACTAGATCATTTTGATGCCCAAACATCAGAGAAACTGATGTTTGTAGTAAGTTAGTGTCAGTTGTCTATTCAAGAAAGCCATTAATCTCCTGAAAGAACATTTCAAGCTCCAAGATCTCAACGGATACCCATATAGGGTCCTTGTCTAGAAAATCCGCTTATGTTGTGAGAATGACGTTAACAGCGTGTGTATTTCACTTTTTCCTGGCAAGCTCAATCTCTGATTAGATTATAAGAATAGACGTAAGAAATTCACCTGACCCATGGCCTTGATTTTCATAGTTAAATGTACAGCGACTGAGTTGAATGTAATTTCTGTCATTGCGTGATTAGCCTTTCTGGCATTTGTTCGACTGTATGACCTCTTGTTTACAATGGTTACACACTAAGGTTCGTCGTTGTTTGGTATCTGGGTCGTTATGAACTCGGTGCTGCATTGGTGCTACCGGTGCAGGTGTTGTAGATGTGAGAGTACGAGCCAGTGGAGGACGAGCTGACTTGGGCGCAAGTTTATTTGCATAATCTATAATCAAGTCAGATGGTACATACTCGACTTCCTGTGCGCGACAATATATAGGGTCGCGAGCAGCCACCAAAAAACTAATCAGCTCTACCAAGTTCTCCACATTGTCCTGTGACATCTTGCCATCGTCATCGTACCATGGTGATCCGCTGAAATTAGCGTGCATATCTTGCTTGACTTCACCAGCAATGGAGGCAGCCTTCATCGGCGTTTCCGCGCGAACCACAGGTGTCAAACGATCAAGCCACTGAAACATCCAATGTAACTTGATGCCAGCCCACTCGCGTCGAGATGCTCACTCACAAAGCTATCTTGCGGGATATGAGAGCGAACAAACGAATTTTTTGCCTGATCTGAAGTAATATCGACAGTGTGCATAGTATACTCACATGCCCTCAAAAATGTAGATACTCTGTAACTGTCTTCAGCCGTAAAATCACGGACCTGATCTCCACGCGGTATCGCATGAACAACGTTAGCGGGGTGAGTAGACGTATCATTGTTAGTATCAAACTTACTCCTAACTGAGGGACCTTTTAATGGGGGAGGTAATAAAAAATTTTCTGACATGCTGTAATCCTGTGGAGGGGGAAGAAGAACCTGCCCGTAATCAGGCGACGTACTTATACTGGTTACCTGATCGTAGGGTTCAGTGGTTTAAATCGTCAAATGATTGGTCTATAATATCCTCACTACTCCTGACAGAAATGTCGAACTTTGATTGCGCCTGTGTTTCGTGCTCATCTGCTGAAATGACCTCGTCAGTAGAGACTTTAACTTGATCCGGAACACATGAATCGCTAATATAACGCTCCGCCAATTCCGCAATGTCCCAAGACGATAACTTTGAAAAACCATCCGTTAATTACGTAATGGGTCACCCTAAGAGTTACACAAATATACTCTTGCCTCTCATTTACAGTAAATTGATATTAAATATAGTTAAAATAATTAAAGTATCATAAGCAGAACTGATGAAAAACATAATGGAAATTATATTACGGCAGTATACAGTATAGAGAATAAGTAAGACACTTACAATAATGATTTAACCTACACGATGTCTAACCGTGTGAAGGCATGCCTTGAATATGTAAATGTGTGTACAGTATATAATTAATGTATGCCTAGATACCTATTTATGGAGTTGGTCATCTTCATAGAAAATGGATGTCTCCAGCCTCAACCGTCCCACCCACTGGCACAGCTGGTCCAAGGTAAAGGTGGGTGTGTGGGTACTTCAGTCTCCGCTGCGGTTGCATAGCAACCGAATGATGACTCAAGATGGCAACGGGCAAGTCCACTTCACGCCAGGGAGTCCACTATCCACCACAATCCGGGGGAGTGTACAATCTTCAGTCACGACAGCCAAAACAGTCTGCTTAAACAATGGTGCAAGGTCCACGTGTTGCAAGACCTTGAAGCTCGTAGGTATGTAGCAACACTGCAAGCTCCGGGCATAGGATGCTGAATGCTGACCACGTGAATTATTCACCACGCCTTGTTGCCAGACGGGTGTTACCAACTTTCCATAAGATAGAAAGTCACCAATAATTCACAATCGGTTATTGTAAAATAAAGTTTGGACACCTCTGTGGATGACAAAATAAAAAGGTCACTCAACAAATAACGCCTCACTACAGGATACCAATACACTCTGGATCCAGATAGCACGTCACTGTTTTTCTGTTTTCGTAAAACACTTTTGACTTGTTATGGAATGTGTATCTAGACT